TCACCCTTTCACAAATATGTTAAAAACATGACACAATAACATCAAAGTAAATTATTTGGGGATGAGATTTTAAGTTTTTTTTGTTAATAATGCACTAAATTATTTTCTTGTCAAATGTTGAAATTTTAGTGTGAGGTTGATCAGTGAGTTATATGGTTGCTTTCTAACCAAAAGGTGTAGGGTTTATTTCAAACATCAAGATCATTTCAAATTATCTAGCCTAGGTTGATCATGTACGATTCCTGTAAATCCAAAACATCTTGACATCTTAAAAGATAAACCTGATTTTTCAATTTTGTCAAGGCCATGAACTCCAGTCTATGAAAAAGATATTTAAAGTAAAGCCAGTGGGTGTCTGAGGATGAGATTGGTGCTAGGCAATAAATCAATACATTCCTATGTTTCATTAACATATTATATAGTTTTAACAATAACAGCTGTGATAAACTGAATATTTAATGTAATAATATATACCATTATGAATTTAACTGGTTTATTGAATGATGGCTTTTTCTGTGTTTATTTGGTTTTGATTTGTTTTTTATGAAAGTTTGGAGGAATGTTTAGAATGCTCTGGTCCATGTTACTCTGTTGATTTTGTGACAATTCTTTTGGATGTGATTTAGACTGCATTATTAAACAGTCAAATTTTCAAAATGTTTTCACAATTCATATTTAACTCTGTCTCTAGACTATAACTGAATATTTGGAACAACTCTTGTTATTCTGATGCTAGTTTACTATATGATTGATGTATTTGTTCATATGATTGTTATTTAGAGGACTAGACTCTCTTTCATTTAACTTGAATAAAAATAATTGACTTGTTAAATTAGTTTTAAGTATTAAATCAGTAAGTATCAGTATCGTGTAATTGTATGTGTAGTTTATAATTATTTTATGTATATTTTCAATATTTGTATGTGTGTATTTTATGATTATTGTATGTATAGTTTAGGAGGATACCAGGGAAGATTTGCTCCTGTCAAATAAAGTTTTATTATTATTATTATTATTATCCCTAGATATGCACAGAGATTGTTGTTTTGCTATACAGTGTGTGGTTTTTCTTCAAATCTAAAACTATATAGTTTATAGGAAGTTGAGAACCAAACTGTGTTAAGCCTTCAAACATTGTATTAATATCACCAACCATGAGATCAAAATATATTATTATATTAAAAACTTTTAACAACTTTTTGTTTGTGAAGGTTTAAAAACATTTGTGTGGAAATAAATTTTTATGTAATATTTTATTTTGAGTAACAAGGGGTCCGTTTTCAAACTTTTAACTTAGATAAAATCCTGATTTAAAGAAATACGGATAATTCTTATTGACCTATGAACCTGGATTTAAAAATTTTAAATTCTCAAATAATCCTGAGATAAGAATACAGAAATATTATTGATTAATAAGACTAGTTTTAAAGTCAATTTTAATGATTGGTCATTGAACCATAAACTAATCAAATTTTTTGTGAATCAGTGCTATTGTTTGAGCAAAGTAAAAAGTTTTTTGATTTTATGAGAGTCTCAAAACCTCAAAAATAGTACTATTAGTCTTAGAATATGTTTGCATTGATAGAAATAAAAAAAATTTTACATTGAAAAGAAACACATTCCCCTCCTAGAAATTTCAACCCAAAAATGTTTGGCTGAAAATGGGTCTTTGTAAAAACAAGTTTTGAAGACATAATGTGTGATCTTGTTTATATTTTTATCAATGCAAAGACATTTTAAGACTAACAGTACTATTTTGAGGTTGCTATTCCAATTCACATAAAAATACTGGAAAAAATTTTAAAAACTTTTTACTTTTCTGAGACAACAAGTACTTTTATCTTAGATATGGCAGAATGACATGAGAAGAATAGTTTATTATCTATAGTTGTCTATATCATAATGACTTGAATCAATTTGAATCAACACTATAGTAATTTACTATTTAATTAGTAGACTATTTATTATTATATTGTTAGTTATTCTATTTCCTGTGTCAGTCAGTATTGACCTATTCACATCACACCATTGTAAATGATAAGCTGATAAAGTGTTTACTGAATTATTGAAACAGTACTAATTTGTAGGTAGATTTTTTTCTGACTAAAATCATTTTGGTCATTGGTTTATGCATTTTTTTATTTGAATATACAAAAAATTCCTATTTGAAGAAAAAATTGAAACATTGTTTCATTAATATCATGAATAATAGAGTTTTCAAATTGAGCTTGTGAAAAAGTCAGTACTTATTTCGTGAAAATTGTTTTGTTTTTTGATATAAGTGCAGAATAAAAAAGATGTAAAATTCATTTCATTTCATATTAAAAACTCAATACATATATAACTTATATCTGGTTAAATGTGAATATACAATATAGACAGGATGGTTAGTAATTAGTGATCTGTAAACTATTTAAATAATATCAAGTATAAAGTATAAATAAACCTCAGTATTAACTCAATCCAAGACAACTTGCCTACAACGTTTTGTGTCAATAGAGTAGTTTTTTCAGATATTACTGTCAATTTTGAGCTTGTAGAGATAGTTAGATAAGGCAGGCTTACACTCAAATAATTCATATATATGGTTGATAAACTATATTAATTAGTAAAGATATTTTTCTGATGTTGTTTTAAGGTTTTATAATGTCATTGAAAGGACATTTACTAGAGACTTATATCTTTTATTTCAAAACTAAATACCATATACAATAGATAGCT